ATTTGATGTCTATGTCTCTTAATCGATTATATACAAACATGAAGCATGTCATGCTGTAATTTCTACTTTTCAGATCAAAGATATATGAGACATAGAATATAATGTGTGGGCAGATGCTCTTATATACATATACACGTATGTCCACTTTTGGAAACAAAATATTGTTGTATTTCTCTTTATTTTCAGCAAGTTCCGTATTCATTGATTTTTTCAATGAATAAAACAAAATATTACCGCTTCCTTTTGCTAATGTGATTTTATCATAAATGCTCATCTCAATTTCAAAAGTAAAAGAAAAAGAAGCGGATAATCATCATTGATGATCTGGCATGATTGAATCAAATAAGCCAAAGTATAAACATGATCTTTTTTTTTTGCTAGTGAAGACGAGAGAGAGAGAGAGAGAGAGAGAGTGTGTGATAATCGCCTAGCTAAAAGAACAGAAAGAAGCACACACACATCAAACATGGTTACTAAACAAACAAACATCCTGGCGTGTCTTGATTCTTATCAGTTAAGCAGTAGCAGCATTTTCATTATAGATCATTTTCTACATAATGATCAATCCTATCATTCACTAAATTGTAAAGAATATTAATAGAAAAAAACCTTGATATTGTTCTCAAAGTGTGAAGTTTCTCTCTCTAACATGTCATATTGAACCCAACATCAGATGAGACACATAGTCGGACGTACATAAACAATCGACCGTGACGTCAAACAAATCATAGTAAAAAAAAAATATATTCATGGAAGAGAAAAAAAGAACGACAAAGGGTTCGTGTATTATGCTGAATAATCTGAATGGCGCATGAAAATATTCTTTATTATCGATTGACAACCAATCAGATATCTTCGATAAATGTCGAGTAAGGGAGAAAAAAGGCAAAAAGATAATTTTTTTTTTCTATCATTGGATAGAAAAGAGAAAAAAATATAAATGTATACAATGTCTATCTATTGAGAGAAGAAGAAGAAGAAGAAGAAGAAGAGAATAGTCAACAAAATGTTACGAGTTAATGAGTGAACAAAGTTTAATCAGTAATCAATCGTACAAACACATATACATCATATTGACAATTAACAGAACCATATATATTGAAAACCAGAAAGAGAAATATTCGATTAACGAACTAATCTAATTATTAATTATAAAAGTGATTAAACTATGTTTAATTCACCAAATGATTGTTTTATTTCTTCACCATTATCACCATCCAATTTAATATTCAATCGACAACATCATAATACTCGTTATCATCCATATAATCGTATTTCAACATCATATTATCCAACAAATGAACTTGAAACATATTCATACGATAATAATAATAATTCAACAACACAAAATTATGATAATTCCATAATGTCTTATGATTATAATCATAGTTGGACAACACCTTGTTCTTCTATTGATAATGAAATAAATAATAAAGAACAAACAATAATTAAATCAAATCTAGGAAGAACAGGTAGAGTTAAATTTGTTTTATTTTGTCGAGTGCAGAAAACTTTTTTATACATTCGTAAGGTACTTCTCATTGCTTTAAACGACGTGTATCAGCTAATAAAAAAGAACGTCGTCGTACACAATCAATAAATACAGCTTTTTCTGATTTACGCACGGCTATACCAAATGTTCAATCAGATACAAAATTATCTAAAATAAAAACTCTTAAATTAGCTACAAAATATATTGAATTTTTAATGGATACTTTAGCTAAAGATGATCCAATAACAATGCCAAGTGCATTTAAAGCTGAAATTACAAAAACAAGAAAAGATCATAGAGATTTAATGAACGTAAAAACTTCTATAACTCTTAAATCGAAAAAAAAGAATGTTAATATATATTGATTTTTAGTTTGATAATGGTTTATCCCCACGTAAAATGAGAGGAAGAACAGGATGGCCACAAACAGTTTGGCAATCAGAATTAAATCGTAATGAAAATTTTCATCAACATCATCCTTCAACTAATGAAACAACACTTTTATCTCCAACACTTCCATCTTCAATCTCTTTAAATATATCATCTGAAAGTTTATCAAATTCTTCAACACTTTCACATAGTAATTCACCATTACCATCATCAAGTACAAAAATGAATAAATTACGTACATATGACAAATCATATTTAAAAAAATAACAATGAAAAAAAAGAAAAAGAAATGTAATAGTTAGATATGACAAATAATACCATCATGTTGTTTGTAATTTTTTTTTCTTTTCTTATGCATACCGGTGTTGTATATAGATTTGATTATTTATGTGTGTGTGTGTGTGTATGTTGTTCTGACTTTAAGAAATATATATATATATATATATAGATATAAAGTAAATGACTTTATTTAAACTCATTTGAATGCACTCAAGATATATCTAAACATTTTATCTATTTAAACTTAATCGAGCGAAGACGATTTTCGAATTGATCATTGTATAAATTGCTTTAGGTGAAAAATAAGAAGATGTCAACAATGACTATTTTATTCTAAGCCCTTGGACTTAATTCAAATGATATAATCATTTAATAGATTTTTTTTATGTTGATAAATAAATAAAAAAAATCATTTATTTTTATGTGTACACATGTATCAAGGAGAGAAGATGTCTAGAAATATGAGCACTATCTTTATTTTATTTTTTTTTTACTTATTCAACATCGCGTGAGATGAAGACTAACAAATAATCGATTTATATGTGTTTGTGTGCAGAGAGATACATATTGACAATGTTCATATGGGACATGCTGCCAACATTTTTGTTCATATTAATAAGTGAATAAATGTTCGTGTTGGGTTTTTCCTATTTATAGTTGATTTTAATGCATGAAATTGTTGAATTAATAAAAAAACGAGAAAGAAGTGACAAAAAATGTCAAGCTAGATTTAATTATTTATTTTAAGTAAAAAAAAAACAAACCAAGTTTTTATATTAGAATAGAGTTAATGAATTATTCTTCTCTTCTATTTGTTTTATATTAACAATAGAAAAGAGATCTGTTCAATATCAATCATTGTGATCAAGAAGGAAGAAAAGAAAGATATAAGCTAATTATCATTTGATGTATATTATCTATTCATATA